AGTGATGACTTATAATGAGCGCACTTCAGGCCACACACTCACACACACACACACACACACACACACACACACACACACACACACACACACACACACACACACACACACACACACACACACACACACACACACACACACACACACACACACACACACCCTCACACACACACACACACACACACACACACACACACACACACACACACACACACACACACACACACACACACACACACACACACACACACACACACACACCACACACACACACACACACACACACACACACTCACACACACACTGATCACCAAACATTTGGCACCTGTTCTCACCTGTATTGTGCCATGGTAGTGACAATGACGTCTCTCCATCTTAGTAAGGGTGAACGCTCACTTCACTATTTCTTCGATTGGTTCCTCTCATAATATATTGATAGAGTCATTACATTTTTTGGTGTCTCCTAATTGGTGTTAAGTGAACGTGTCTTAGATTAAAGTAGAGGCTCTTAACGCTCTTATTTTCTCACGCCTCACTCACCCTCACTTATCTACTCCCCTCTCCCTCCTCTCACTCCCTCCTTTTTACTCCCTCCCTTCCCTCCCTCCTTACTCCCCTCATTACCCTCCCTCCTTCCTCCCTCCTCCACTCCCTCACTTATTTACTCCCTCCCTTCCCCTCCTCCTCCCCTCACTTATTTACTCCCTCCCTTCCCTCCCTCACTCACTCCCTTTCTGCCTGTCCTCCTCCTTCCTTCCCTCCCTCTCTGGCTTCCACTTCTATCTCTCCCTCACTCTCAAACCCTCACCACCCTTCCCCTCCTCCTTCCCTCCCTCACCCCTTCCTCCCTCACCCCCCTTCCCTCCCTCCCACCCTCCCTCCACCCTCCTCCTCCTTCACTCCTCCCTCACACAATATGTAGGCTCCTGACGGTGTTTCAGTTGACTGCTCACCTGATGAATACTTTACTGAGGTGACCCCAGACTGAGCCTTTTGTTACAACCGTGTACATAACTCTCTCTCTCTCTCTCTCTCTCTCTCTCTCTCTCTCTCTCTCTCTCTCTCTCTCTCTCTCTCTCTCTCTCTCGTTATACAGAGAGAGAGAGAGATCTAGTACAGGCGAAGACAAACGGGATGTCAGGCTATTGTCAAGTCCACATTATTCTGTGTGTGTGTGTGTGTGTGTGTGTGTGTGTGTGTGTGTGTGTGTGTGTGTGTTAATCTATCCCTGAGATATTGTCATAAGGAAATAATGACTTTAAATTAGACCTTTTTGCTGTGATGTAAATTAACGTAGAATTAAATCACACAGGTAAATTAACCGTATGTGCTAATGTTAATATTAACATCGTCAATCAGATATATTAACATATATTTTGATATAATATTGTGTATAAGTGTTAGTTTAAGTATTTGTTGATCAAAACGAGATTAGTTCATTATCAATAAAATGTTGACCACTATCACGAAAACGCGTTCACCATCATGTATTGCATTGTATGTGTATACTGTATGTTCTGTATATATGTATCATGTATTTCCTATATATATGTATGATATAATGTTTTTGGAGTGTGTTTAGAGTGTGTTTTAAGTGTATTAACGCCTATACCCCCGAGTCAAGATTCAAATTCCCCGGGTCTGATAGAGGGATGTCGTGTTCCGCAGTTAGGTTATCTCTGAGTTGTGATTGGCTGATTAGATCCGCCATTTTTCTCAACTGACCAATCACGTCGGTTGTAACATTTGTGAGCATTACGAGACAGTCCCACGGATGGTTGTGTTTTATTGTGTGTGTTTTCGCTATTTTTGACGTTATTGATAACAAGAACGTAAATTTATATATATTTAAAGATAATTAAGTAATCAAGGGTAACGTGTATTACATATAGGATGACTAGGTGATAATATATGTGTTTGTGTCATAATGAATTTGTGCTTTGACGTCATCTGAAAGTGAAAAAAAAATGAGTGAAAATGACTGTAGGGTTGATAGTTATGATGACAGCGTAGAAAATAGTGAAGGTGACGGTGATGACAGTGAAATTAACATGGATAATATAGTGAAAATGACAGTTACAGTAAGGTGGCAATAACAGTGAAAATGATAGTGACGTTGACAGTGATATTTACAGTGAAATTACAGTGAAAATTACAATGAAAATGAAACATCAGTGAGGGTTATAGTGAAGATAAGGCTGTTGACGTCACCCTAAACATGAGCACCGAGAACCATCAACAGACACACACACAGACGCTCTACTGCTTTATAAATGTAAGTTCGTTTTTTTTCCTTTATTACAAATTATTTGTTTTATAATTTTTTGTTCATCTGCCAATGTGTTGTTGTATAAATGTTTGTACAATCACGGAACTCTACAGTGATTGGTATATAGAGTGTGTTCAGGGTGTGCTTGGAGTGTGTTCAGGGTGTGTTAAGAGTGTGTTCAGGGTGTGTTGGGTGTGTTGAGAGTGTGTTTAGAGTGTGTTGACTGTGTTAAGAGTGTTTAGAGTGTGTGTTGAGAGTCTGTTAGAGTGTTTAGAGGGTGTTGAGAGTGTTAAGACTGTGTTAAGAGTGTGTTAGTGGCGGAGACAGGAGCCACTTTGCAAATGAGATGTTAAGACCAGTGATGATGACAATTGTGTTGGTTGGTCTAACATGAACGTCAATGACTGGTTCTGGAGAGAGAATAAAAAAAAACAATAACAATAATAATAAACGGTTTATTAATAGAGTTGCAGCCGGTGGCTGAAAATATACAGACTTACATTTGATTTAGACATAATGATATAGTATGCATTGAATACATTTACAGGGCTGTACAGTACATAAATCAGGAGTTGTTTATTATTTTAACAATAGATGGGATGGTGCTGTTCTTATATCTATCGGTGCGGGCTCTTATGGGCTGAATTTTGTTGTAGTGGTGGACTGGGCGAGGTGGGCGGGGGACTGCAGGTGGCAGGAGGTGGCGATGACGAGGGTGGTGCAGTAGTCCACGGCCAAACCTTTCCAGTGCTTGGTGGTGGAGGTCACTGAGGATGGCATTTCCAGGGTGGAGAGAGCGTTGGTGTAGCCGGGTATTCTGCGCCGAGCAGATTCTGAGCCCTTTTCTGTACCCTTCTCTAGCTGACGTTGTTAGGTGGAGTTGAGAGAAGACGACCAGGCTGGTGACGCATGCGTTAGTTTGGGGAGAATAAAGGCGTTGTAGATGGTCCTCAGCTCTGGCGTGGGTGTCCCAAATGACCTTAGTTTTCGTAGCATGTAGAGACGGTACGAGGCTGCCTTGACTGTGTTATTTAAATGGGCCTTCCAGTCAAGTTTGTTGTCTATAGTTACACCCAGGAGTTTGGCAGACTGCACCAGCTGGAGAGGATGGGCACCCACTGTGACTGCTGGGGCTTGCACTGTGAGTGTCTGTCCATGATGGCCGGAGAGGTAGCACGAAATCAGGGTGTGATATAAGAGAAAGAAAGATTGAAATAGAAAAAAATCGAGTTATCATACCATAAGCGTAAGTGTGAGATGCCATATATAGATAAGAGAGACAGAGCAACAATTATTTATCCCGGAAGCTCAGAATATTTAAGAGATCTCACATAAACAACACAGGATATATACACGAGAATCGGATGATTTCCCGCCGAAGAAAAACAAAATAGCATCGAGAGATATCAAACCAAACCCTTCATATCTTTCTCGGTGTGGACAGAACGTGCCTGAATACCTTTAGAGACACCGAGATCAACATAACAAACAGAATAGTATCGTCACTAAGGAATCGAACGCTCTTTATGGATGTTGACGGCGCAAATGTCATCAGAAAAAAAGAACATCATCAGAACGGGGTCAAAGGTTTTGTAAAGACGCCGACGGGATGATTTTAATCATCATTAAACAAAATAGCATTGGCAGATAGGATATTTAATCCCCTTAGAGCCTTTTCGTAATGGAGGAAACGACTGAGCATCAAGAATTTAAATTATTTACATCGCCGTTTATGTTAATAGATGACGAGAAAAAACAAAAGAGTATCAGTATAAAGAAGAAGATTTATATTGACATTTATTGTATTAGATGACAAGGAAAACAAAACAGCATCAACAAAAAGAAAATACATACTATTAAGAGACGAGGATCAAAACCTTATGAATTACAAGAAAAAACAGAAGACCTTCAACCAACATGGAAGAAAACGATTTATTAATATATCCGCACAGACAGGGAGAGTGGAGTGAGTGTGTTTATGAAGTGGAGGCGTTTGAGAGAGAGAGAGAGAGAGAGAGAGAGAGAGAGAGAGAGAGAGAGAGAACTTAAATTAAGGTCATTTTTCAGTGTGTCTCTTCTTAATGTTAGTCTGTTTATCATCCTTCGTGGACTAAACCCTTTGAGTACGATGACTTTATCCCTTAAGTACTATGATTTAACCCCTTTAGTGACCTGACTTAACCCCTTCAGTATGGTGTTTTAACTCCTTGAGTACGATGACTTTACTACTACTACTATCACATTACACATTACTACTTCAAACAATTCAACCATTAAATAATGAAGTTACTAATCCTACCCCTGCACCTTCTCTTATCCCTTCACGCACACACAACCACTCGGCCCTATCCTGCCAAGGGCGAAGGTGTGGCATGAACCTACCCTATTCTCCCCTACCCAGGCTAAGTACTGTCGATATATAGGCCTCCTCCACGGTCCATTAACTGTCCTGTGTTCCTCTCTAACAGCCTCGTACGTTAATTGTCTATGGGTGATGATTGGAGGTTATTGAATGGAGGTTTATTTTACGTGACCTACAGTAATTTGTGGTCATTGCTATAGTTGTTATCTAATTATTTGGGTAGGATGGCTCTCTCTCTCTGTAGCAAGGTGACAGGTAAACAAGTGGCCTTATCAGTGCCAGGTGTAATTGGGTGGTTGTATAGTTAAGAACAATGGTCAGCTTCCTCCTCCACACACACATGATTAATGGCTAGTTTATGCCACTTTCTCTTCAGTGGTGGGGGAAGTGGCTTTGGTGGGGAGTGGCTTTGGTGGGAGAAGTGGCTTTGGTGGGGAGTGACTTTGGTGGGAGAAGTGGCTTGTGGGAGGACTGGTGGAGAGTGGCTTTGATGGGAGAGCGGCTTTGGTGGGAGTGGCTTTGGTGGGAGAAGGGCTGGTGGGGAGGACTCAGGAGAGTATTGATGAGAAAGTGGCTTTGTGGGGAGAAGTGGTTTGTAGAGTGACTTTGGTGGAGAAGTGGCTGATGGGAGAGCAGCTGGGTGGGATGGCTTTGTGGGAAGTGGTTGGTGGGGAGTGACTTTGGTGGGAGAAGTGGCTTGATGGGAGAGCGGCTTTTGGTGGGAGGGCTTTGTGAGAAGTGGATGGTGGCGGACCAGGAGAGTGGCTTTGATGGGAGAGCCACCAGGAGTGGCTTTGTGGAGAAGTGGTTTTGGTGGGAGTGGATTTTGGTGGAGAAGGGTTTGATGGAGAGTTTATTTGAGGAGTGGTTTTGGTGGGAAGTGGCCTTTGTGGGAGAGCGGCTTTGGTGGGGAGGAGTTGGCTTGGTGGGGGAGTGGACTTTCAGGAGAGTGGCTTGGTGGGAGTGGCTTTGGTGGGGGAAGGAAGCTTTGATGGGAGCATTGATGGGGGAAGGGCTTTGATGGGGAAGTGGATGATGGGGGGAAAGGGTTTTGATGGAAGCGGTTTTGATGGGGAAGGGCTTTGATGGGAAGGCTTTGATGGGGAAGTAATTGATGGAGAAGTGGCTTGATGGAGAAGTGGCTTGATGTAAAGTGGCTTTGATAGTATGGCTTGATGGGGAAGTGGCTTTTGATGGGGGCTGCTTTTGATGGAGATGCTTGATGGGGAAGTGGCTTTGATGTAAGCGGTTTGATGGGGGAAGTGGCTTATGACGCAAAGATGAAAGTGTGCTGCGCCCATGCATCCTCCCTTTCCCTCCCTCCTTCCCTCCATCCCTTCTTCTCCTCTTTCCCTTCCCCTCCCTCCCCCTTTCCTCCCTCCCCCTCTTCCTCCCTCTTCCCCTCCCTCCCCTCTTTCCCTCCCTCCCCTCTTTCCCTCCCTACCCTTCCATCTCTCCCTCCCTTTCTCCCTCCACTTGTAGGTGACTTTCACTCCCTCACCTGACGGCAGGTGACGACAGGTGACCCCGCCAGGTGAAGTCAGGTGACGGTGGTGGTAGAGAGAGTCTGTCTGTCTGTCTACTGTCTATCTATCTATCTATCTATCTATCTATCTATCTATCTATCTATCTATCTATCTATCTATCTATCTATCCTATGATTAGATAGATTTAATGATAGATAGAAAGATAGATAGGTGTCGTTAAATACAGTTGAACTGGTAGACGTGGCAGAACAGGGTTTTTTTTATCAGGTGTTGGACCAAACAGGTATGACAGGTGTACAGTAAATTAACAGATATATGCATTAAATACACCTGTTCTTATCGGCTTCTGGATACAAAAGGTGTGTGGCAGGTGTGTAAGTGGTTGTACTCACAGGTGTTTTCATTTGTGGTTACAGGTGTTCTCCAAGCGGTTACAGATGTTTACAGTGATTAATTACCATTTCTTAAAGGTTCCTACGTTAATTTTTCCTCTTAACTGAAGATATTAAAATGTATCTAACTGACTCACTTAAGCTAACACACAAAGATGGATTCTCAAATGATCTGACGTCAAAAAATTCTCACTTAACCTAACCTAACCTAACCTAACCTAACCTAAACTAAACCGGGCAGGAGGCAAGTGTGACTCAGCCATAACCCAGTGTGTCATTAGTCGCAAGAACCATATTTGTATCTCAGGTTAATTAAGCCAGGCAGGTAAGTTAAGACATATCAATTGAGAAGAAAATATCATCCCGCTTACCTGTGTGACTCTTACCTGGTGTACATTAATCAACGGTTACCTGGGCAGTGTTGGGTCAATAATTTCACATATTTATCTTTCTACAACAGAAACCTTTTACTACTTACTGCTGTGTGTGCGGTGAGGTAAAGGTATATGTTACAGTTCTAGTAATTAACCTCTTTGCTTAATCACTTTACCTGATTGTTAAGTCTTGTTTGGTTTTCTCTAAGACAATAATGCAACTCATCCGCTTTTTGCTTCATATTTTAAGGGTACAGTATTTATTTATTTATTTATTTATTTATTTATACATGTCTCTCAGTCGGTCTTCTTCTATTAATGGTGAAAATTGTATAACGCGATGCTATTTTATTACGTAATTCCTATTGGTGTTGATACTGATGACGTCACGGTCCAGGAAGCAGTAGCTGGCGCGGGGTAATCTGAATTTATTTTGTAGGTAGTGATATCTTACGTATCTCCTCCTCTAATATTTCGCCTTCAATAATCTATTAAAAAATAAATGATAACTAACCAGAGAACATTATTTTGAAACTATTAAATAACACACAATGCTTTAAAATTTATCTTAAATCCAAGGCCGAAAATTTTTAATATTCCAAAACTTAACGAACCCACCGGTCTCTTGAGTGTTGCCATATAATGATCAACATAATAAGCCTGGGATAATAAAGCACCAGATCAGCTGAAAATTAAACCCCCCAAACGTTACCTGGAGGAGCTAGGTTAGGTTAGGTTAGGTTAGGTTAGGTTAGGTTTGTGGTGACTAATGGTAAACTTGAAAATAGACACATACACATACACACACACACACACACACACACACACACACACACTCACTCACATCCAGGCACACACAGACACACACAGACACACACGCCCACACACACACACACACAGCAGCCCGGGGGTGGTTGAGGTGGCTGACCATTACATCTGATGGCCATTATCGACAAGCGGCCGTAACAACCCACTTATTCTCATACTGAAGTGATGACCAAGGCGTATTGTGGTGTCCGGGGTTGTGGTGTCCGGGGTTGTGGTGTCCGGGGTTGTGGTGTCCGGGGTTGTGGTGTACGGGGGGTTGTGGTGTCCGGGGGTTGTGGTGTACAGGGTAGCCAGGGGTTGTGGTGTCGGGGTTGTGGTGTCCGGGGGGTTGTGGTGGGGTACGGGCCAGGGTGTCCGGGTTGTGGTGTGCCGGGGTTGTGGTGTCCGGGTTGTGGTGTCCGGGGGTTGTGGTGTCCGGGGTTGTGGTGTCACGGGTAAGGGGTTGTGGTGTCCGGGGTTGTGGTGTCCGGGGTTGGGTGTCCGGGGTTGTGGTGTGAGGGGATAATTCACACTACAGACCTACACCATAGACACACAAACAAACAAACACACACACAGACAAATGGTTGTGTTCTGACAGTTATGTGAGAGAGAAAGTGAGAGAGCGACGCACATACAGCCTCGTACACACCAAGATACATTGTCTAGAAACAGTCGCGCAACATTGTTTCTGGACTGTCTAGCGACTGTTGCGAAACAGTCCAGGAACAATCGGTAAACTTTGTTGCTGGGCTGTCTCGCGATTGTTTCACAAGAGACACGAGACAGTCCAGAAACATTGTTGCACGTCCAGATCAAGCTAGAGCGATGCATTGACGGGGAGAGCAGTCGACGTCGTCATGTCGGTGGATGAAGAAATTTTTTGATGAAGGAACAACATATGGAGAAAACCTAATGGCAGACCTGACACTAGAAGATGCTGCTGGATTAAGAAACTTTTCAAGAACAACAGCTTCAGATTTTGAAATATTACTGACAATGGTTGGTCCCAAACTCACAAAGCAAAATACAAACTATGGAGCCTCAGTCCCTGCCGAAATACCCCTGGCAGTAACATTGAGGTATCTTGCCAGTGGTGACTCATTTACAAGCGTGATGTATACCTTCAGTGTCAAAACAGTCCACATGATGTTGAAAATAAAAGATAACAACTACATGTATTACTGTCTACAAGGCAAACAATAATGCGTGTAGTAGTGTCAGCAAGACCACCTCACGGATCACAAGCTGAGCGGCAACTGATCCTCCATGTTGCCAAATGCGTCCAGATTGAGCAACTCTGTATCTTGTTTCCTATATGGGATGGCAAACAAGAAACATCCAAAATCGTGTTTCTGGACAGTCGCGCAACAGTCCAGAAACACTGTTGTGCGACAATGTATCCCAGTGTGTACGAGGCTTTAGAGAGATTAAGAGATAGATTGATAGATAAGAGAGAAAAAGAGAGGGAGAGATAGGCAAAGAGACAGGCATAGAGACAGGCAGAGACAGACAGACAGACAGACAGACAGACAGACAGACAGATAGCCACAGCCTACACTATCTCCCCATATAAGCTAGCGGCAACTTTCCCACACTCAGGTACATCAACTGCTAATGTCTCTCCCTGGTCACCTCTCTCTCTCTCTCTCTCTCTCTCTCTCTCTCTCTCTCAAACTAGACCAGAAAACAATACCTGTCTCTCCTTAAGGCGCTTCCACACCGCCCATGACCTGCCTTCACTGTCTATTCCTTCACCTCTTCTTCCTCTCTTTCCCCTGTCCCTCCCCTTCCACACTTTTATCTTCCTCTCTTCCTTCCCCATTTCTCCTCCTCCCTCTTTCTCCTGCGTTCAGCCTCTCTCTCCATTCCCTTCCCCTTCACCTCCCTCCCTCACACCCCCGGAGGCTGGGAGACAGAGGCGTGTCAAACTCCATGAAACAGCTGTGCGTGTGTGTGTGTGTGTAAGTGTGTGTGTGTGTGTGTGTGTGTGTGTGTGTGTGTGTGTGTGTGTGTGTGTGTGTGTGTGTGTGTGTGAGGCCCCGACCCTCAACGTGCCAGATGAAGGGGTAGACCTACGTACTTGCAGGTAATTTATGTTCATTAGACGCGGCAAATGGTGGTCATGGCGGAACAACAATAATTCAACCTGTCCACCTGTCTATCTGTCCACCTGTCCATCTGTCTACCTGCGGATAGTCATAACAGTCCCAAGATCCACCTGTCCACCTGCGGATAGTCATAACAGTCCCAAGATCCACCTGTCCACCTGCGGATAGTCATAACAGTCCCAAGATCCACCTGTCCACCTG